AAAAAAAAAAAAGAAGTCCAACACAAGGTAAATTTTATGTGCGTTTTACCACAACACAAAATTTTTTTAAGTCCGTAAGGAAAATCAGACCCTCGAATGTAAAGACTTCTGGGGTAAACAAGAGTGGGGTAAACAAGAGTGGGGTAAACAAGAGTGGGGTAAGCAAGAGTGATAAAGGTCAATTTGGAAAAAAACCCTAGGACCAGGGCCATCGACACTCCACCCTGGGCCCCGTCTCCTGGCTCCTCACCTTGTCGGGCTGGGAGGCGTTGGGTGGCTGCTGGAAGGTGAGCAGGTGCAGGCCAGGCAGGAAGCTCTGGGTGACACAGGCCTCCAACGATGTGACAAAGACAGGTACAGGCCCCCACCAGCCCACAGTGCCTGAGATCTGCTCCCCTCGGCAACGGGCCTGCTCTGAGAGGACAAGGTGGAGGACTGGGGGTCAGTGTGGGGTGCTCTGCCGCCCCTCCCCCACTGCCACCGGACACTCACCAGGCCGAGGCAGGCAGCTCTCGTTGTGCACGCACCAGCCCAGGGCGCCGGGCCCCCGGGGAGGGGCTGCGGGGCTGCTGAAGGCCAGGCATGCCTGGCAGTCACCCAGGAGGCGGCCCAGGCCCAGACAACTGGCAGCTGGACACTGCAAAGAGGGCAGGGCACAGGGCTCATTGTCCACAGGGGCTCAAGGGATTAGGGAAGGGCTGTGGACACTGGGGTCCTGGGTAGAAGGGGCCTGAAAGGTGGAGAAGAGGGAATTGAAAGCAGCTTTGGAATGTGGGAGGTCAAGAGGTCAGGGGATCCAGGGACAGGGTCACAAGCTCAAAAGCACTGGGTAGGCAGTAGGCGGGGGGCAAGGTTCAGAGGTCAGCAGTCGGGAGTCAGGAATGAGGGTCTTAGGTGAGAAAATGAGTGTCCCAGTTGCGGGGAAGTCCTTGTGCGCTCGGTTTAGGCAGAGGGAGACACTGAGGGCAGGGCTCTGGGCTAGGGGACGGAGGGTCCCAGGCAGTTACTCACAGCCCCAGAGGGAGTCCCAGGAGGGGGTGCAGCCTGGCAGGCCCCCTGACACCAGCTGCATTCGGGGTCTCGGGAGCAGACGCTGTGGTCTGTGTACATGGAGCAGTAGTCCAGGTGGTACTGCAGGGGGACGAGGGGACGAAGGACGAGGCTGCTCAGACCTGGGCCTGCCTCCCGAGTCCTCACTCACCTTAGTCATCCCAGGAGAGCCTGACTGCTCCTCCCCCAGCCCCAGGGATCCTCTGTCTCCCCAGGGACCGCCTTCCCTCCTCACGGCCTTAGGGACTTTCTCCCTCACCTGTGGGGACCATGCTACCTCCTCCCCCAGCCGCCCTACCAGCCCAGTGCTCACGTCAGGGGCAGGTGCCTGGAACACGAAGGGGGGCACCTTGTAGGCCATCAAGTCCCCGCGGGGCCGGCCGCTGTACCCGCCAGCCACCAACAGGACGCTGCCACCAAGCACCGCCGCCACATGTGAGTACCGACCACTGGGAGGCGCTGCTCGGCCTAGGCGAATACAGACCCCCAGAACATTAGACCCCCACCACCCCCACCCCCTCCACAGCTCCCCTGCCCAGGGGACAACACCTGATTCTCCTGAGCCTCCGCCCAGCCTTCTAGTTGCTGCTTCGACCCCTCCTGCCCAAGGAAACCCTCCCAGCCTGGCCCTGCGCTAGCTATAATTCTCTCACCTCTCTGAGCCCCCACACCCCTGCCCACACCATCTTCCAGATACAGCGTGATCTTTGGACTCAGAAAGACTTGGGTCTAAATCCTGGATCAACTACTGACCAGCTGTGTGGCCTTGGGCAGGAGACTGAACTTCTCTGAGTCCTGGTCTCCTCCTCTATAAATGGAACCATCATCCCGCCCTTGGGGAGCTGGGAGGACTGTAGAAGAATCACTGAGCCCTCAGCAGGCTGCCTAGGTCTCCCCGTTTCTGTCTAGCACCAGCCTCTCCTCTGGAAAACCACCCGCTCCCACTCCTAGTCCCTTAGACTCAAGTCGAGCTGTCCTTGCCTCTGGGACAGGGCCTCTGAGCCCAGGCCTATCAGTCTCAGCAACTAGCTCAGGGATGAGTACAGGACCCAATTCCTACAATTCTTGGGAAAAAGGCACTCTCTTCTCTCTGGGCATTTTAGGGTGGCAAGATATAATCCAAGAGCTGCTTGTGACCATCTACAAAAGGCAAACTTGCTAGATAGAGACTGAGGTAAACCCAGCTGAGAACTGGAGCGAGACACGGTTGATGCCATCACATGAGCACCTGGATCAAGCCCAGCCTGACATCAGCCCCTGTAGTTGTCCCCCAAGTGAGCCAAGAAATTCTCCTTTTTGCTTAAGCCAGTTGAGTTGGGTTTCTGTCACTTACAGCCAAGAGTCCTGACTGACAGGTAACTGGCCAGTGAGTGGTGACTTCCCCACTCTCTTACTGACCCGTATGCTCTGTAAGCACAGGGGGTGTGGCCCAGGGAATCACAAACTGTGGAGGAGGAAAAGGTTCCAGAAACCTCACGCTCTTCCCTGCCCAGTGAAGGGGCAGCAAGGAAGGACAGGGGTAGGCAGAGGAGACCTGGAACAGGGGCCTCAAATGCCAGGCCTGGGCTTTATTCCTGATGGTCACATAGGGTTCCTTTGGGGACCCCTCCCTCTCCTCCTTCCTACCCCTTAAGTGTTAATGTTCCCTCCTTATGTCTGTCCCCTGTCTTCTCTCTCCTTTTCAGGGAGGAGGAGTGAAGAGGCCTCTGGGAAGCCCACAGCCCCCTGAAATGATATGGCCAGCTTGTGGGGACAGTGTCTTCTGAGGAGAGGACCTGTGGCTTTCTTCCCACTCTCAAAGCAGTCTCTGATCTAACGAGCGTGAAAGGCGTCTCCACGTCCCCGCTCTGGCGGGCTCCCTGGCCCTGCAGCCGGCCCCTCGCTGCTAAGGAAAGATGGCGTGTCAAGCCATTTCACTGGGCATCGATCTTCGCCATCGTCCCAATTTACTCCCACAATAGCCCAATGGCATTTTATTATAATCCCCATTTACCCATGAGGAAACTGAGGCACAGTGAGATTAAGTGATGGTTTTTGTACAGGTCGTTGTTTGCTGCCAACCATCCTGGTTCTGCCACTTGTGCACTGTGACCCTAAAAAAGTCACTGCCTCGTAGGCACTTGCCAGGGGCAGCTGGAAACTGGCAAAACCTGGATTGGAGCCTAGATCTGATGTCCCCACAACTGCCTTCCATCTTTACCGTAACACTGCCCTGGTCCCGTCTCCAGCCCAGGCTTGCCGCCGGAGGCTGGTTCCAGCAAGGTGTCTGGCTCACCCCAACAAGGACTGAGGTGGCTTCAGCCCAGATTCACTGGCAGGGGAGGTGGGACCCTCAAGGAAACAGAGGGGCCACTCACCCTCAGGGGTTCCTGGGGGGGCAAGCTCGGCCCCCGACACCCACTGATGGCAGCCGAGGTGGTAGAAGAAGATGCCGTCTTCGTAGCACTTTTCCTCCTGGTAATGGGTGTGGACATTGCCCCCTGGGAAAGGAGGAAAGGGGCGCAGCTGCCGAGCCTGGGGGAGGTGGAGACACCCACGCAGGAGTCTCCACTCAGGTCCGGCTCAGGCCCCTTGCAGGCAGGAGGGGAGACTGGGAGCGCTTACCATAGACCACCATGTAGTTGCCCAGGACGCTGGCCGTGTGGAAGGCCCGCTCCCTCGGGCCCTGAAGCCCATCCCGGCCCTTCAGCGT